AGAGCAATGGAGATGTTGAGATGAGAAGTTTGCTGTTTTCAGAAGATCGTGCGTTGCTGGCTGCCTGGAAAGGCTTAAATAGAATTCATGAACGTGAACGTGCCTAAAACGGAATGCCCTTGCCTGATGCTTTCTAGCTCTTCAGTCAGTGGCGCTCTACAGATAAACGGAAAGGCTGTTGAACAGGTGGACAAGTTCACGTACCTCGGAGTCATGTTGACTAGCGATAGAAGATTGGAAAAAGTGATTGGTCAGCGACTTCTGCGTAAACTAACTTGAATCGTTGTGACTGAGGTAGTGTCGAGTCTAAAAACTGCGATGTCGTTGTTCAAGTGAAATTTCTCCCATATGTTCTCCTATGGTCATGACTGCAAAATTTCGATTCAGGTGGAAGGGCTGAATTGGGGTTTCTGAGACGAAACGCTGGACTCACGATTCTCGACTTGGTTTTGAGTTCACATATCCAAAAAAATCGCTGGTGTACTGCTGCTTCTCGAATTTGAGAAATCAGAAATGTAATTTTTTCATCACGTTTTCTGAATAAATGCTACTAGAATAGAAGGCGAAACAAGAACCGCTTGCTAAACCGATCTGTTAAAGAGTTAATGAGAGGCTATGAATGACAATGTGCAATTTTCGGGAAGGAATCTGCTCCAGATTCAGGATGTCTGCCAGTAAAACTCTAGCACAGGATAGGAACCGTGTGAGATATTGTTTCACGTCACAGGCACCTCCACACGAACAGATAAATAATCATTGAAATTCTTGACCGAGTGAAAAATTATTAAAACATAATAATTAAAAGAATTTGATTCAACTGATAGAAATGGACTTGAACTGAACGTATAAATCGTGAAGGAAAGCGTATTACTGTTAACGTGATGGAGCTATTGTCATTTGAATATTACTAATAAAGAACCCACTGATCATTAATTCTGGTAAGAGGTCGAATAATCATAAATAGTATAAAAGATATGAAATATTTGAACATAGTAAACATTTAAAGTTACATTCGCAGTCGTAACGGACATTTTGTTTGATAAACCTCTGCACACAAGTTCTTGCTATTCTGAAATTCTGGCAAATTTCACCATCCGCCTTGTATCCAGCCATTCAGCCTTTTTCTTCGTAAATGGACCGAGAACACGGACGACTCAATTATCAGTTATACTTGACATACGTAAATCTTGACGTTGTCCATTCTCGGTCGGTTGTTCTAACACAGCTATTTCTGGGATCCGTGACCAAAGGCGTCAAAGAAACAAAGTCGATGAAAGATAGCAGGTTTGATTGCCGAGGGTTTCGCGACCATACCAGCAAAGTCATCATTTTGCACCGCTGATGTTCCCAGTGTGTTATGTAAAGGATAACGATATATGAGATAGCATTCATCAGGTATATTTTAAGCTTTCAATTATGGATCAAGAAATTGACTATGATCAAATTGCACTCGCAACATCTTTAAACACGAAAGACAAATCGAATAGGATATCAGAGACGTTGCAAATCCAGTAATCTGCCTTGAAGCTGTTCTCAACGTTGTGTTTGATTGAAAATTTCCTTCCTCCATTTCCTTCTCTTTTTCATTAAGATGAAGAATCCTCCGTTTTGAGTAGCAAGTGTTGGATTAATTTTTGTGCCATAGACATTCTCGTCCACAACATATTCTACCTTTATCTGAGGGACATGAAAAGGTCGATTCCGTAATGATTAATTTTTTTTATCGTGATAGGGTGAATGACTAACTTGTCACTGCCGTAATAAAATACCTATGTACTTTTGCAATATACCATAAACTTTTTTGTCCCTGTTTAATGAATCTCAATATAAGATTTAATATTCAGGATTGTTATATAGTCTTATTGTACCATTATTTATGTCCAATCATTTCTTAACGCAAATTATTTTCAGAATGACAGCTGGGATCTCTCTACGCTGCATGACGATGAACATATGAAGCATAAATTGCAGATTCGATAGTGCAGAAAATACCAGGATGGAGAAAATCGAAAACCTGACGGATGTAAATTCAGGCCAGGCGTACACGCTGGACTTCATCGTCAATCGTATCATCGTACCGATTGAGCTGGCCATCGGCTTTGGATGTCAGGTGGTGAACTTGACCGTGTTGTGCAATCA